TTTTTAAAATTATATTGTGTTTTAGGTAAAAGTTTACACAGCAAATTTGGTTCCCATTTAACAATTTTTATGCAAATTGTTCTGTGACATTGGTTTTTTAAAATTATATATCTTCAGGATAAAGCCTTCTTAAACTTAATACATTTCAAAAATTCAGTATTTTTCATTATACTGTTAAAAACTATCTAATTGCATGAAATGCATTTGAATACCTATTTAACTAATGTTGTGGCAAAAATATGTTACAAGGAAGGCTGAGATAAAAATGGTCTTTTTGAACAAAAAATGATTTTATTTATTAACATTAAACTGTGTTCAGATCGTTTTAAATTGTGGTCTTCCCTGACCCCTACCCTCTTTCTTTCAAAGATGTTGGGACCGTTCTTAAAGTAGTTTCAATTCCTAAGGAGACTTGGCATGATTTAGAAGAAGTTTTGCTGGAAGAAATGACAGTTTTTCGGGTGAGTGCTGCTTAATTTCAAGTGTCAACAAGTTCAGTTGTACGTCTTTCCCCCAGGACTGCTGCACACTGAACTTGGTATGGACAAGTAGTCTAGCATACCCTTCTAATTAGCTTGTCAATTAGAAAGCCAGACACTAGTCAAAATAAACCTTGAAACTTTCAATGCTAGTTAAATCTAAAGATGTAAAGAAATATATTCTTGGCTCATATTTTGTTTTCTCAATGATAAAATATGTGATTTACATTTTATATTTATGTAAGTTACCTCAATGAACAAACTTTTTTCCCCCTAAAATCTACTCTTTCACACTTTATGGTATGATTGGAATGAAATGTACCTTTCTTGAAAGTATTAAGGGAGACACATTCAGAATGACAGGGGAATGAAGACATTTCAACCATTTTTGGCTGAATCTTAAAAATTATCATATTTTCTTAAATCATTTTTTAGCAGAAGAAAGTTTGTGGTTTTTCATCTCCCCAGTAAAAAATGTGGTAATAGATTTCTAATCCATATACTTAAAAATGTACAGATATGTGTCCCTTTGTCCTGAATCATAGACTATCACCTTCGTGGCCCAGGCTGGGGATGGAGGTGGGAAGATACAGGATGAAGTGAAAGCGGAAAGCTGAAGTGGTATGGCATAGATGACAATATCTTTTGTTCCTTTTGGAAAGCCAGCAAATAGACATAGATTGAATTAAAGAACACTTTGGTATGAAGTATACATGAGATATGACAGGGATGTAGATGCTTATAAAAGTTGTTATATTAAAATTTTTCAAGAAAGAATAGAGCAAACACACTGAGACTTTTTTAACTGAAAAACAGACTGGAATTAGAATGATATGGTGGACAGAACAATAAGAAAAACTTGGATTTAGTCTCACAACTTCTATGATCTCATTTAGTCTCCAAGTATCTATGATACTTTATATGTAAAATGAAGGATCTGGCATAAAATATTTTTTAGTTAATTCAGTATTTTAATGGTAAGCAAAATCCCCACCTTTCGCCTGCCCATTTGTTGTACAGTAGTGGCTTGCCTGTTGCCGTGATGCTGGAAGCTGTGCCACCAGTATTTCAAATACCAGCAGGGTCACTTGTGGTGGACAGGTTTCAGTAGAGCTTCCAGGCTAAGAAAGACTGAGAAGAAGGACCTGGTGATCTACTTCTGAAAAAACTGGTCAGTGAAAACCTTATGAATAGCAGTGGAACATTGTCTGGTATAGTGCCGGAAGATATGCCCCTCAGGCTGGAAGGCATCAAAATATGACCAGGGAAGAGCTGCCTCCTCAAAGTAAAGTCAACCATGATGATGTGGATGGAGGAAAGCTTTCAGGACCTTCATTTGCTGATGTGGAATGACTCAAAATGAGAATAAATAGCTGAAAATATCCATTAACAATCAGACCTTGGGATGTATGAAGTATGAATCAAAGAAAATTGGCAGTTGTCAAAAAATGAAACAGCATGCTTGAAGTAGATATCCTAGGTATTAATGAGCTGAAATGGACTGGTATTGGCCATTTTGAATCAGACAACCATATGGTCTACTATGCCAGAAATGACAAATTGAAGAGAAATAGTGTCGCATTCATCACCAAAAAGAACATTTGAAGATCTATTCTGAAGTGCAGTGCTGCCACTGATAGGATAATATCCATACACCTACAAGGAAGACCAGTTAATATGACCGTTATTCAAATTTATGCACCAACCACTAATGCCAAAGATGAAGATATTTAATATTTTTACCAACTTCTGCAGTCTGAAATTGATCAAACATGCATTCAAGATGCATTGATAATTACTGGTGACTAGAATTCAAAAGTTGGAAACAAACAAGGATCAGTACTTGGAAAATGTGGCCTTTGTGATAAAAATGACGCTGGAGGTGGGTGTGATAGAATTTTGTAGGACCAGTGACTTACTCATTGAAAATATCTTTTTTCCAACAACATAAACGGTGACTGTACACATGGACCTTGCTGGATGGAATACACAGGAGTCAAGTCAACTACATATGTGGAAAAAGACAGGGGAGAAGCTCAGTATGATACATCAGAACAAGACCAGGGGCCGTCCTGGGAACAGACCATCAGTTGCTCATATGCAAGTTCAGGTCGAAGCTGAAGAAAATTAAAACAACTCATGAGAGCCAAAGTATAACCTTGAGTATATTCCAATGAATTTAGAGACCATCTAAAGAATATATTTGACACATTGAACAGCAAAACTGAAGACCAGACAAATTGTGGGATGACATCAAGGACATCATACATGAAGAAAGCAAAAGGTCATTAAAAAGACAGAGAAGAAAGAAAAAAACAAAATGGATGTCAGGAGAGACTCTGAAACTTGATCTTGAACATAGAATAGCTAAAGCAAAAGGAAGAAATGAAATAAAAGAGCTTAACAGAAGATTTCAAAGGGTGGATCGAGAAAACAACTGAAGTATTATAAAGAAATGTGTAAAGACCTGGAATTTGAAAACCAAAAGGAAAGAACACACTCAGCATTTCTCAAGCTGAAAGAACTAAAGAAAAAATTCAAGGCTTGAGTTGAAATAGTGAGGATTCTGTGGGCAAAAAACTGAACGATGCCGGAAATATCAAAAGAAGATGGAAGGAACACACAAAGTCACTGTAAAAAAAAATTGGTCAACATTTAACCATTTCAGGAGATAGCATATGATTAAGAACCGATGGTACTGAAGGAAGAAGTCCAAGCTCCAAATAAGGCATTGGCGATAAACAAGGCTCCAGGAATTGATGGAATATCCACTGAGATGTTTCAACAACTGGATGCAATGCTGGAAGCACTCACTCGTCTATGCCAAGAAATTTAGAAGAGAGCTACCTGGCCAACTGACTGGAAGAGATCCATATTTGTGCTCATTACAAAGAAAGATAATCTGACAGCATGTGGAAATCTTCAAAAAAAATCATTAATATCATCTACAAGTAAAATTATACTGAAGATTATTAAAAAAAACTTTGCAGCAGTACATCAACAGGGAACTGCCAGAAATTCAAGCCCGATTCAAAAGAGGACATGGAACGAGGGATATGATCGCTGATGTCAGACGGAACTTGGCTGAAATCAGAGAATACCAGAAAGATGTTTACCTGTGTTTTATTGACTATGCATAGGCATTCAACTGTGTGAATCATAACAAACCACAGATAAAATTTCAAAGAATGGGGAAATCCAGAACACTTAATTGTGCTCGTGAGGAACCTGAACACAGACCAAGAGGCAGTCATTCGAACAGAAGAAGGGGATACTGTGTGGTTTAAAGCCAGGAAAATTGTGCATCACCATTGTATCCTTTCACCATACTTATTCAGTCTGTATGCTGAGGAAATAATCTGAGAAGCTGGACTATATGAAGAAGAATGTGGCATCAGGATTGGAGGAAGACTCATTTATGTGTTATGATCCACGTAGTCGAATGCCTTTGCATAGTCAATAAAACACAGGTAAACATCTTTCTGGTAGTCTCTGCTTTCAGCCATGATCCATCTGACATCAGTAGTGATATCCCTTGTTCCATGTCCTCTTCTGAATCTAGAGCCTGACTCAAGCCACGGTGCTTTCAATCACCTGATATGCATGTGAAAGCTGAACTATGAGTAAGGAAGACTGAAGCAAAAATCGATGCCTTTGAATTATGGTGTTGGCAAAGAATGTTGAATATACCATGGACTGCCAGAAGAATGAACAAATCTGTCTTGGAAGAAGTACAGCCGGAATGCTCCTTAGAAGCAAAGATGGTGAGACTTCATCTCACATACATGTTGTCAGGAGGGATCAGTCCTTGGAAAAGGACATCATGCTTGGTAGAATAGAGAGTCAGCAAAAAAGAGGAAGATCCTAAAGAGATGGATTGATACAGTGGCTGCAACAGGGGGCTTAAGCATAACAATGATTGTGAGGATGGCACAGGACCAGGCAGTGTTTCGTTCTGTCGTACACAGGGTCGCTATGAGTTGGGATGAACTCAATGGCACCTAACAACAACAATGCGGCTCTAGCTAATTACAGAATAGTATTTTGAAGAGAAAATGAAATATAATATGGCAAGTTCTTAACTATATATATTCATTCAATTATAATTATGAATTTTATTGTAATTCATAATTGATAACTGGTACATCATAACTTAGACATTTTGTAATAAAAACTAGTCAGTATTTTTGTGGAAAACCCTCAGGCCCTTCAGTCATACCAATCTACATGACAGTTCTGTGTGGTATAATTATATTATACCTCTGAGCTTCCCCACCAGTAAAATGGTGAGAATAATAGTGCACATGGAGACTGGAAGGATTAGAGACGGTATATGTAAAGCACATTTTACTTTTAATATTATTTTAGTTTATTATTTAACATTATTTTAATATTATTTTACCTAAACTGAAAATGAGCCACATATCCAGCAGCCTTTTCTACTAATCTTTGGTATAAGTTTTCAAAACAATGAAATCATTATATTTATATTAAGAATTTTTTTTATTCAGGTACTTTGACTCTATTTATGTCTGGTATAGTGTGATGACTAGTCCTTATCATCTATTGTGTCAATTGTTTTGTTTATATGTTCCATTTCCATATTTATACATTGCTTTATTATCTTACATATTTAAAAATAAAATTATCCAAATGGATTGTGTTAGCTATCATACAGTCCATCTAGACTTAGCAAACAGAAATTATGAGCACTGAGGCGTGGATAAATAAATTGCTGTCTTGTGTTCATTGTTGTGTCTCTGGAGCCTCAAATATGTGCTCAATCAATATTTATTGAATGAATGAAAGAGTAATGATAGAGAAATGAAAGAAGAGAAAGTAAAAAGTTTAAGTTCTTTCTCAGGGAGCGCGTGCTTAAAGTGCGGTACCCAAGTATAAAGAAGTGAAACTGGAACCAATAAGAAGTTATTCTGCTGGTTATGCCCATAATATTCTTCCACAGATACATGTTCCAGTTGTCC